GTATTGCACAATAGCAAGAAATCTTCAATTGCACAGTATTGTGCAATAGCAAGAAATCTTCAATTGCACAGTATTGCGCAATAGCAAGAAATATCCAATAGCACAATATTGTGCAATAGCAAGAAATTGTCAATTGTACAGTATTGCGCAATAGCAAGAAATATTCAATTGCACAGTATTGTGCAAAAGAAGATACTTCGTATAAATTGCTTATTTCTTGACCAATTTCAATGGGGTTTTATTCTTGAATTCTTGGGGTTCTTTAATATGCTGAATCTAACCGTGTATTAAGTTTTTGGATTTTGGGCCCCGTTTTTAAATTGGTCCACATTGAGGTCCAAAGGGTCCAAAATTAAACTTTGTTTGATTTCATCAAAAATTGAATTATTGGGGTTCTTTGATATGCCGAATCTAACCGTGTATTTAGATTCTTAATTTTTGGTTCCGTTTTCAAATTGGTCTACATTAAGGTCCAAAGGGTCCAAAATTAAACTTAGTTTGATTTTAACAAAAATTGAATATATGGGGTTCTTTTTTATGCTGAATCTAACCATGTATTTAGATTTTTGATAGGGCCCAGTTTTCAAGTTGGTCCAAATCGGGGTCCAAAATTAAACTTTGTTTGATTTTAACAAAAATTGAATATATGGGGTTCTTTTTTATGCTGAATCTAACCATGTATTTAGATTTTTGATTTTTGGGCCCTGTTATCAACTTTGTCCACATTGATGTCAAAAGGGTCCAAAATTAAACTTTGTTTGATTTCATCAAAAATTGAATTCTTGGGGTTCTTTGATATGCTGAATCTAACCATGTATTTAGATTTTTGATAGGGCCCAGTTTTCAAGTTGGTCCAAATCGGGGTCCAAAATTAAACTTTGTTTGATTTTAACAAAAATTGAATATATGGGGTTCTTTTTTATGCTGAATCTAACCATGTATTTAGATTTTTGATTTTTGGGCCCCGTTATCAACTTTGTCCACATTGAGGTCAAAAGGGTCCAAAATTAAACTTTGTTTGATTTCATCAAAAATTGAATTCTTGGGGTTCTTTGATATGCTGAATCTAACCATGTATTTAGATTTTGGATATTGGACCATAATAGGTGAATGTCCAATTTAAAATTTTTAAGTTCCTGGACCACATTCATTCTGTGTCAGAAACCTATGCTGTGTCAAATATTTAATCACAATCCAAATGCAAAGCTGTATCAAGCTTGAATGTTGTGTCCATACTTGCCCCAACTGTTCAGGGTTCGACCTCTGCGGTCGTATCAAGCTGCGCCCTGCAGAGCATTTTATAATTTTGAATAAAATGAAATATTTACGGTTTACAAATACAAATACGAATAGTTTATTGGCATAAACACAATTATTATAATTGGCAACACATTTTTACAGTACATTGTTAAAAATCGTCTTTCTTTCATTTTCAAGTAAAAAAAAAGTTGATCCCATATTCATGATATTAAATTTTTATTTTTATTGTAATTTTTTCTTTTTGAATATAAAACGATATTATACATACATGTGTTATTACGGTTACTTTCTCTCAATCTGTAGTAACATATGTTTGTTATCAGTTAAATGTACCATAAAGATTTTTATTTTCAGTGGGCACTTGGGAATTCTTGAAACTTGAACAGTAACTTAATACATAACCTTGAAAACTAATTTTCCAATTCAGTTAATACATTTTTGATCAACCATGGTAAATCAATGAGACAAGGCTTTTAAGTGATAACTTAGCTGTAATAACAAGGCTTAGTTATTACAGGCATTTAACTTATTACATGAGACACTTGGGAATGACTAGGAAGCTTGCGCAGAACCTCATTACATGCTCTTATCATTATTTATTACAATAAATTAAAATACATTGTGATATATGTAGGAGAAAAGGCTTTGAAGAGGTGTAGAGAAGCTGTAATAACATCCTTTACTTAATACAGGCATATTTTTTCTGTAATAACATGGGTGTGTTATGCATGATTGGCAAACTATGGGCTGTTATATCTTTCTAAAGTTTAATATACATAAAGACAATTATAATATCAATAGAACTAGTACACAATTTAACAAAATAAAGGATGTACAATGCCCCTTTGAAACATGTAACATACATATGTTATCACAGATTTTTGATTTTCTAGCCCTCAATAACAAATGTATGTTATTTTTCTCTAATAACTTATTTAAGTTAGACCCTTGACTGTTTTTAGGGAAATTAAGAAACAGGATGACACAAATAAATTACAGTATGATTTAGTAGCGCCTGGCAGATGGGAGTGGCTCATGCATTTTCACCCTGATAAATGCAATATTTTTCAGTGTACAAAAAAATGGTGTAACACAAAAATGAAAACCTTTAGAATTTTAATTTTTTTTTAAATTACAAAATCACTCACTCGAAAAAAGTTGACTCTACTAACTAAATATTTAGGTCTTAACTCTTCAATCAAACTAAGAATGGGATAAACATCTCGATAACCTGACATCAAAAGCAAACTAGTCTCTTGGATTTATTTGCAGAAACCTTAAAATAGCCTCATCTAAAGTTAAAGCTCATGCATTCAAAGCTCTTGTACGACCAAAATTGTACTGCTCAACCATTTGTGATCCACATCAAAAACAATAAATTTCACAAATTGAATGAAAAAGTACAGAGAAGAGCAGCCAGCTTCACATGCAACCGCTTCCACAACACCTGTGCTCAGTTACTGATATGATGACAGACCTAAAATGGTACCAACTTGAAATTAGGCGTTTAAGGTGCAGACTTGTTTTCTTTTACAAAATTATACACAAAATTGTTGCAGTCCCTACATTTAACCTTTTGATCCCACTAGACAATAGAACCAGACATAGCAATCCACTCTCATTTAGGCAAATACAAGCATCTAAAGACAGTTATAAATATTCATTTTATCCGCATACAGTTATAAATTGAAATCAGTTGCCACAAAATATAGTTTCATGCAGTACAGTACAGGCATGACAGGGTTTCAAGAGTATGATCCCAGAATCTGCTCTAATCCCTATTTTCTACCCATAACTGTTATGGTCATTGTTACCAAACATGTCAAATGTATATAGTTTTATCTACTAGTAAATGTTATTTTTCAAATGTACATATTATTTTGATTTTTGGTTTTTGATTTTGTTTCTTTTTTTCTGGTTACCTTGTAAATTATAAATCAAAATTTAAAGCAACGTCCGGCGAATAATCTTCATTTAATGAAGGATCGCTAGAAACTTAAAGAAGAAGAATGAAAACGCGAAATGACAAAACAAGTACTTTGGGAAATCTCATTTAATACATGTAACAATTCATGTTAGTGCTTTCTAATTTCCTATGATTACTTTCGGGAAAACAAATGCTTGAAATGGACAGGCCTCTTCATTATCATTTTTTTAACTTGTCAATTCGGGCAAGTTGCAAGCAATTTTGCTTGTCCAACTTCCAAATCTGACCTTCTTTGCCAGAATCCAAAGTTATAAATGTTGAGCGAAATAATGTTGTCCATAACTATTGATATGTCCAATCCCTAAAAGGTTAATCCACAAAATCACTTTGTATGCTTTGTATGCAACCTTAGATTCTGTTTTGCAAAAATAAAAAAATAGCTAAGTCATAAATAGTCTGTCAGACATTAAGGAAAACCAAAATGATAAAATGGTATAAAGATAGGCTGGTCTGAAAGATAATCTAGAAAAAAATAACTGTTAGTATTAGTTTTTGTTATAATATCTGTTAGACATTGGGTGAGATATCTGCAAAAGCCTTGACCGTTATGGAATATCCGTTTCACAGATTATAGGGGATATGTTCCAAATGTCGTAACTACTATCCCGTCCCCTTCTCCATGAATGTGACCTACTGATTTAGACGTATTACTGGGTTTGTACTAACATGAGCAACACCAAAGGAAAATTTGACTTTTGAAATATAAATCAGAAGGTCAGTATTGGTTAGAGATGTTTTGAGACCTCAGAGACTACAGGGCAAAATCTTTTGATAGGATTGACTGAAACAAAACAGATTGGATGCTGATCATTAATCATCAATCAATCAAGGTTATCTTTATTTTCAAGTATTTTGGGTTGTATGAATCCAAGGAGTTATGAAAATAAATGTAGCAAAAATAATATACAGGTCTCCCTGTTAAATAGAGGTCTTGAATTTCTCTTCAATATTAACATTGTGGAAGAAATCATTGTACATGATTGTATAAATTCCAATTCTGATAACCCACCTTAAAAGAGGGGCGAAAGATACCAGAGGGACAGTCAAACTCATAGATCAAAAATAAACTGATAACGCCATGGCTAAAAAATAAAAATAAAAACAGACAAATAATAGTACACAAGACACAACATAGAAAACTAAAGAAAACTGGGGGTGATCTTAGGTGCTCCAGAAGGGTAAGCAGATCCTGCTCTACATGTGGCACCCGTCGTGTTGCTCATGTTATTACAAATCCGGTAAATAAGTCTAGTTTGGTAGGTCACATTCGTGGTGAAAAAGGAAGTGGATTGTAATTATGACATAAGGAACATATCCGATATCATCTGTGAAACGGTTATTCCATAACGGTCAACCAACTCGTGATGCGTCCATAAAATTTACAGAAGAGATGATTTCAACTTCACCATTTGGAACTCTTGGTTTAATAGCTTCCTTGTGAGCAGCAACCATCTATCAAGGAAATCATGATAGGAAATACAAGCCCAGGAATATCTTATCAATTGGGAGATACATATACAATGTATCTCTGTATGCATATACTCAGTATGCAGGCGCTGCTGTGATGTTGCTACATAGAAATGGAAAGTTCACAATTGGGAAGCTGAAATCATCTCTTTTGTCGTAAAGTTTTGTTTTCAAACGACCCTTATTGTCAATTTCTAGATGTAAGTCAAGAATTATATACTCTGATCTATTGATGTTAATGAGTAATATAGGGTTAAAAAACATTTTATTAATATTATTTTTTTAGGACTAACATGGGTATTGGTATACAGAACAGAGAAGTACAAAAAACTGAAGGCAGAAGTAGAAAAACAGAGTAAAAAGTGTAAGAACATACAATCATGACAATAATTAGACCTTATCTTTTATCATGTTATATACAAATGTACTTTAGGCCAATTAAAATTAATTGATAGATTTTCATCCCTGCCCGCCCCTCTGAAATCGTTCCGCCCCAATTTTTTTTATTTTGAAAAATTTACGATTTCCGGATTTTGTTCATTTTCGTTACCGGTAACCATGGTAACTGTCGATAATTTTGTTTCATTAATAACTTCCTGTTTCAAATTTTGGTTTTTGCATTTCTTTTTATGTTTAATTCGTTATACATGTATATACATGATAGAACCTTATTATTACACTTGCATATATGAAGAACACGTCACAAGAGCGTTTCATATCTAATAAAAAATAAAAAACAAAATCCTCCCACCCGCCCCATTTTTTTCAAAAATTTGGATGAAAATCTACTAATTAAATTTACTTGGCCTTATAGACATGATCATGATGATAAACAAATTCTATGAAAATGCATTATATCACGATTTAAACATAATTGAAAAGATTAAAAGTAAGAAATACATTTTATTTAAAAGAGACAAATGGTGAAATTCTTATGGATTTCAGTTGTGCACAGAGGATAGCATTTTTGGTACATGTAGGAAAGTCCTGGAAAGAAGTATAAGATTTCAAAGATCATTATCAACACAATCCATAAGTCATATGAAGTTTTTGGAAATAAATAACCAGTGTTCCTCTGAAGGCCTTATACATGTACCACCATCCTTTATTGTTTACCATGGTGCTATGGGAATAGGTGCAATATAATCATGATAATGTATTTTAACTGTGGTACTATTATATGTGGCAAATGCTGCTATTTCAAATTCCACGGTGCTATTTGAAAATACCTGTACTTTGAGAGAAAATTGTGTACATCAGAACTTTAATTGCTATTTAGATATTGTTCATCTAGACCATTGAGTATAAAATGTATATATATACAAATTGATCATGTTATAGATAGAAAATTGAAAAGTTTGAATAAATTAATGTTTATTGTTGGATTTATAGTATTTTGGGGTTGTTAAAAGCTTTTCTGTAATCAAAATGATGCTAAGACACTGCTTTATGAATATAAGTTTATTTACATATATCTTAAAATTGTGTAGTGAAATAGTTGAATGCAGGCTGAAAACATACAAAACTGTGAACATTTCAAGTCAATTAGCTTATAATTATTGTATTTTGTGTATTTTAGTGGAAAAGAAAAAGGAAAGTGGAGAATCAACAGACAGAAATCAGAAGAAAAAGATTGGTAGGTTGGATAAACTGCAATAATTTGATATTGTAAATATTTTCCAGTGTTGATTTTTCTATTGGACAGGCTTGCAAGAGCAATAATTATTCTATGAGGGGTAATATTCACCTATGTTCATGCAATATAAAAATAAGGAGATGTGGTATGATTTCCAAGAGACATCTATCCAATAAAGTTCAAATGAAGTGGATGAAATTTTGCTTTTATTATATAGCAAAGCTTGTGGTTTTTTTTGCCGTGGTATTTGACTAGTGATTTTTAATGCCTTCCCTCTCTTTTTTGGGGGAAAAAACGATTATTTTCTATCACGTCACGTATTTGAAGCTTTATTTGCACTATACAGTAAAACTTTGAAAATTGAAACATAATATATTATTGCATGCAAACTTTTGGTTATATTCTGCATGAAATATGTTGTTGCTATACATTAAGGTAGCTGAAATGTCTAAATGTTCGACGATAGATTTTGTCTTAAACTTCTGTAAAAGACTTCTGGATCAAAGTTCTTTCAAATTTCAAACTGGGTGTTACAGACCTTGTTTTTTCGTTTAAATACCGTATATTGAAATTAACGAAATCACAGTGGTCTTATATATATGGGTTATATAGGGGAAACTTAATTTTTCCTTATTGAGGAAAACATTAAACGATAGAATTGCATATAATTCAATGAGAGAATTGCTTTTCGTAAATACTTGTTAAAGAAAAAACAAATAACAATATGAGGTCACAGGCCTTATTTTCTTGAAAAATAAAAAAAAAACACTAATTGTCTTATCAAACTCAATATAATTATCTGCCCTTGATTTTAAGAGGATTTTTTTTCTGAAAATTTTAAATACACTTAACGACATGTAATTTTTTTATAGTTTAATCATTAAATTTGAAGTTTAAGATGTTTCTGTTGTATATTTAATAATACTTAATCAGAAAAGTATTTCAGCAAAAAATACCCGATCTACCTTAATACCTATTTTCTGCATGAAGAGGACATACACACTGAATTTAAATATAAATTTACTTTCTAAAATGAGAAAAAAAATTTGTCAAGCTCGAAAAAACTGGAAGTGTGCTGTCATAAAAAAAAGAAATATTCATCATGATATTTAAGCCATTTGTTATATCCTCTTACTATTTAGGGGTAGATGTATGAATGATAACTAGCTATATTAAATACACTTTACAATACATGATGTGATATGATGTCCAAAGGGACCAAATAAAAAACATCAAAAGGTCATTTTATTTTATTTCAATTTTAAACCGTCTTATGACCAATATATCATTTAATATAATTGATTATCCTGCATTTATCATTTCATTCCTTAACATATATGGTCATATTTGCATTTTGACAAGGGAGATAAATCAGCTATTGAATAGACTATTTTCATATTACTGACTTTAGACTACAGAATATTGAATTTTTTTGACAGGTTATGTTCAAGTAATGATAAGAGCAACTGAAAGAAGTAAAATTAAGCTACAATCTGTGGTGGTAAAATTAATTGTTTTTCTTAAATATATGATTTCGTCGTGTATGGAAAACATAAAACAGTTAATTATTTCTCAAAATTGAACCAATTGTTAGCTTGATTTTACTTCTTTTAGTTGCTGTTACTTGATACAGTACCAGAATGTCCTACCACAGAGTAGGTAACCTGGTGAAAAATTGTATACTGCTGAGTCAAACGTTGGTAATATGACTGGTCTATTAGATCAAACAATCAAATCTGATCATCAATCAAAACATTGTTCTTTTTCATTTCAGAGAGACAAGAAGAGAAGTTGAAAAATAACAACAGAGATCTATCTTTTGTAAGTTTTTTACATTTCTGATAACACAATTATATTTACAGGGCATTCATTTGTGCTGACAAATTTAAAAGTTTATTATTTATCTGATTCAAGTCATGTAAGTTTGACTCTTGAATGATTTTGATGCTAAATAGATTTCAGGCTGTAGAGCTCATCTTAACTTCTAGAATAGGGAATCCTGTTGAAAACTTTAATTTTACAAATAGTTGGAACTTGTTATAAATGAAAATAAGGAGTTATGGTATGGTTGCAAATGGAAAGTAGTCAATTAAAAGTCTACCAACTTATTTCTATTGAATGGTTAAGTGCTTCCACGATGAGTGACTGAAACCCATTTTTGATTAGCTAAATCAAAAAATTGAAAACTTTATAAAATGACTAAAAATAGACTAAAAAACAATTATGGAATTCTACTTTAATATAATATACTTTAACTATTCAACTCATGTAAAACCTGCACCCATCATTCTGTCAGTCATTAGTAATTTAATTTATGTGCATAGTAATGTATGTGTGTATACATTTATACCATAGTGAGACAAACTGAACATAGATTGACAATTTGTCTTTATATTGCACATCACATTGCATGGCACAACACTGCATTGTGTTCAAGGGCTAACACACTTATATATTCATGATTTTATAAGAATTTAAAGTTAATTGAGGACTCATGAAGTGACCTGAATTACAAAATATAGTTAAATAATAAGACAAATGCCTAAAAATTATTATTTCATATATTTTCAGGTAAAAATGAAATCTATGTTTGCAATAGGTTTTGCATTCACAGCTCTTCTAAGCATGTTTAACTCTATGTAAGTATTTTTATGGAACATATTGAAAGGTATCTTAATGTTCATGCAGTAATTTTTCTGGGTGCCTTCATCCGCGCCCTTCTGCCCTGACGCCTTTTTCCCCAAAACCCTTGTGTCGTTTTGGTAAAATTGCCTTTTGTTTCATCGATTTCTTATCACAAAGTTAAATTACATATATGACACCAGGTGATTGCCCCCAGGTTAATCATGTCATTACAATCAATTACAGTGGATAAGACTTCAAAGGTGTTAATAACTAGGTAATTTAATTAAGACAATGTACCTTTTTGTCATAAATTTGATGAATGTGTCAGCGAGTGTTTTTAGCTTGGGTCGGCATTTTCGATCTCCGAGAAGAGTGTATAAATGAAAACTTTCATGACTTTTGAATAGAATTTAAGTCATCAAAATACAACTATGCCTTCACAGAAACGCCGTCCATCTCAACTTGTGAGAGACAAGCAAACAGTAAACGTGTTAGAAATTAATTTTGGAGTTACTTCCCCTGTTTTAGTTTATTATAAATTTGTGCTCCTAAAATATTATCTAGTATTAAAAATAGGAATAAATTACCAATTGAATACACAATTATATAAGAATGTTACCTTAATGATAATAACTGTCTTTGAACATACCTAAAAAAAATATACTGCAATTTATTTTTGATAATCATACTTTTAGCAATCCATGTTCTATACATTGTCAAGTTAAGAAATTTACAAGTGCAATTGTTATATTGATCCGACCGTGCAAGGGCTGTATAGCCAGTCAAGGTCATTAAAAACTTCCATTTGTTGTTGCAATTGTTATGTAGATGACAAGCTGCAATCCTACATAAATTGGTAGTGTGAAGTTAAACTATCATGACATCAACTTGATGAAGCAACACTAAATAATTCCTTAACACAAACAATGAAAAAAAGTTTTGAGGGCCAAACTAGCTGAAAATTTTAAAATAAGACAACTCTGTCACATGTATGCTAAACTATGAGATGTTTAGTTTATGTTGTTTTTTTGTGGAAAAGGGGGGGGAGAATTGTAAGTTTATTTGCCTCTATTGGTTTATAGTGATGTGATGTATGAATGTGTATTGACATGTTTTATGAACATGTCGTATGAATTACATTTTCTAATGCAAATTTTATAGAATAAATAATCAAAACAACAACTTATGCATCTTTATTAACAACATATACAGTAAAAAAAAGAATGTGAACTCGTGATACACACAGACGTAGACAAAAGAAATGAGCAGTGCCTTTTCCTTTCATAAAAAAGTGCCCTGCCCTCCACTGGCACCCTGCCCCTTTTGATTTCTAGATGGAGCACTGTTCTTAGGTTCATATTCAACTACAATTTTGAAAAAAGGTAGATAACTCCAAATCTAGCATGGTCCATTCAGCTTAATACAATTCAATATTTAATTTTAAGTTCACATTGCAAAATGAAAGCAATCTTTACCATTCAGAGATCACAAGTATTAGTGTTTACATTTAGCTGTTTGCATTGGATGCTGTCTGACTGAAGTATACCCCACATATCCTTTTATTCATACAATGTATTTGATAATTAATAATATCCTGTGGTCATTATTGTTTCAGATTTGATGGCAGAGTTGTAGCCAAGCTGCCATTTACACCAATTTCATTACTTCAGGGTATTTCCCATCGGAACCTGGGAGGAGATGATTACACACATTGCTCATTTATTTTCCTCTATATACTGTGTACAATGTCTATAAGACAGGTAAGCTATGAAGGGTTAGCCCCCACTCATTTATTTTCCTCTATATGCTCTGTACAATGTCTATAAGAAAAGTAAGTTATGGAGGGCTACCAATTAAGACATTAGGTATTTTAGATTGGTGCATTATGCAACAGAGATTCAGTTTGCATTAAGGGGTCAATAAGGGTACCACATCTTGAAATAAAAGGGGTCCAATATGAATATCCTAAAAATAACCTCTCTTTTGTGCTTTTCCAAGAAAAGTAACGTTCATGATGAGAACAAATTAACTATAAACAGACTAGGTATGTCCTGTAAAAGGGTTATTCTGAATGAAGAGTGTGATATTTTGACTGCCACTGGACAATGATGTTATATTAAATAGGGACATAAATTTAGCCTTGCAACAGACCAACTATTGACCCCTCAAAGAGTTGCTTTGAGGGATGTTTAAATAAATTAAATACCACAAAGCTAGGTGTTATTGAAATAATGGTTTAAAAAAAAAGCAACAATGTCAATAAACATTAATAAAAAACGCCCATAACATTCAGTATAATAAATAAGTTACCACATAGCTACCTGTTATATGAATAGTTTACTAGAAGGAAAAGGATGTTCGCCATTGTTAAAAATGAAATAAAAGGCATTCGTTGAACCTCACTGAAAAAATGCAAAAATTAATATTGCTTTTAATCTTATTCGATTGGTAAAAGGCATCTAATTTTGTGAAGTGTTTAGCTGATTGTTAAATATGACTATTGATCGTTAATGCAGTTTTATTCCTTGAATTAACAAACTGTTAACATGAAATCATCTCAAATGTTTAATATCTAATCACAAGCAATTATGTTTAAATTGAGATAATACTTATTTATTTCTGATTATTTATTTTAGAATATACAGAAAATCCTTGGTTTGTCACCATCTCGTGCAGCTAGCAAGCAAGGAGGAGGACTTTTTTCACCACCAACTCAACTGACGAAGTGATCTGTAAAGATTTATAGAAATTATAAATATAATGATACAAAATATGAACTGTATTTAGCTAGTTTAAACAAAATAGTACTGTTGAAGATCCATCTGGCTTATTGCCAATTTATCAACATGTAATTGGCCCTAATGTTTTTGGGCAGTTTTAAGAGATGTACATAAATCAATTTTATTTTGTTTTCATATTCAGATCATATTTCAAATGTAAATATACCACAATGAGAAATTACCATCCAGGATTGTTTTAAAATTTATCATCAGTAATATTCACACGAGACCTTTGCAGCAAGTCATTTATATTGAATCCATTGACAGGAAATAAAAATTGTTTTAAAAAAAACAATGAAAATAAATTTTAATGTGTATTTGTCTGAACTTTGATTATGTCTAAAGTTGGTGTAGATTTACTTGTATAGCCTTTTGTTGTCAACACACAACAGTTATATAAAAGAATATTAGAGAAATACTGACATTTATTCAAATATGAATCCAGTTACCTTTCTCTAAAGTTTTCTTGAGGTCCATCTCAGAATAAGTGCTGTAAGTGCATACTGTAAATTCAGAAATTGTTTTAATTGTTGGAAATATTGCCACAGATACATTTCACAAAAAATAAAAACTCACATTTTAATTCTAAACAGCATTATTGGTATGCACCATTTCCTGAAAGACATATAGAGGTCAAAGGTTAATATACTATGTTTATTAGGAAGAGTTGTATGTTGGTGGTTGGTATGGTCTGCTGTGTTGTTCAATATTTTTGGTGATTTCTATTATCATTTTTATACGACCGCAAAAAATTTTGCGGTCGTATATTGGTATCACGTCGTCCTAGTCATCCCAAGACATTTGGTTTCCGGACAATAACTTTAGTATTAGCAAAAAGAAATCCATCAAATTTAAACACTAGGTTTATAACCACAAAATGAAGATTGGGATTGATTTTGGGGGTTATGGTCCCAACAGTTTAGGAATTAGGGGCATTTTTCTAGTTTCCAGACAATAACTTGTTGAACGGTGTATGGATCTCTCTGAAATTATACCACAAGTTTCCATACCACAAAGGGATGGTTAGGATTGGCTTTGGGGTGTTATGGCTCAAACCGTTTAGGAATAAGGGGCAAAAAAGTGAAAACAAACATCCCTTATCTCCCTTACACTGCTTTTAAATTATGTATAAAGAAATGTTGTATTGTCTTGAGGTGATTAGCTGTCAATTTATTTTTAGAAGTTACTATTTTAATAATTTAAAAAATGCTGATTAAGGTATATTAATTTTAGCCATGATTATGTATGTCATTTTCTATTTTAAGACTTTTATGATGTATTTAAATGGGTTATTATGGTTGCATACTCCATTGGAAATTTGAATTGAGATCATGACCATATCTTGAAAAAGAAGGGTGGTTAAAAAAAAATTTTGGGGGGGAGGGGAAGGTCAATTCGCAACAGCATAGTGTATTGCACAAAAGCAATAAAAAAGGGGGGTAATTTTTTTTGGGGGGTGGGGGGGGGGGGGGCAATTTGCAACAGCATAGTGTTTTGCACAAAAGCAAAAAATTGAATATAAATTCAAATCATATAACCAATTCTAAGTTCTTTGACTACAGTTATTCTGTGTCAGAAACTTATTATGTTTAAAATATTGAATTACAATCCAAATTCAGACCTGTATCAAGCGCGAATATTGTGTCCTTTTTTGCCCCAACTGCTCATGGTTGGACCTCTGTGGCCCTATCCAGCTGTGCTCGGCGAAGCAATTTATTATGTATTAAACAGAAGTCTTAACAATTTGTCAAGCTCTAAATTGTCTCCAGTCTCCACAGAGATAATGAAGAACTGCCATCAACGCCAATTTATAAAGAATCAATAATATATGAACATCTCCGTGAATTAACAAAAGGTACATAATCAGTACACACAATTGGCCAGTTTAAGCTGGGATAAAGACGTTTATTGCAATCAGCACAGTTACGCTATAGCATATATTTCAATTATAAAACCGCCATTTGCACATGAAATTTATAGAAGGCTTGCTATGAAAGCAGAGGTCATACACATAATACATCATATACCCTTAGTTTACGAAATATACAGTCTTCCAAAGTTTATAAGAAAGTTCTCAGTTCACACTTTCACCAAAAAAAAAACCCAAATTGTAAAAAAACTTATTTTTTGTGAAATTGTAGTCCTAAGTAATAGTTAGGTTCTTCGAATTTCGTGTATTATAATAATCTATAATGTCTGTATGCTAGACAAACCATCATTTAACGATATTCCTTCTCTATATTACATTGTTAAACATACTAGTATGCAAATTCTATTGCCCCTTTGTTTAAAAAAAGAGGCGGAAATACAAAGGGGATATTTAATCTCAGAAATCGAAGTAAAACTGACAATGTCGTGGCAAAAACCACGATAAGACTAACAAGTTTACCAAAAAAAAACCGGGTTGAACTTAGGAACTACAGAATTACTTACAGTTCTCGCTCCGTGTGTGGCTCTCCTGGTAATGCTCGTGCAAGTACAGATCCGGTGATATATAATCAATTCAGTGATGTCACAATTAAGGAAAAGAGGGTGAAATTTTAGTGACAACAATTGGAACATATTTGTGGTGATCTGTTGCACTGATATTCCGTAACGGTAAATCAACTCGTGATTGCTTTCATAAGACTTTCGAACATATGTCTTCAACTTTACCACTTAGACATTTTTAGATGTATGCCAATATATGAAGTATGCTTCATTGGATTTGTGGTATATGATTTCTAATCTGATGGGTAAGATGCGGTCAACATTGTCACCACCATTGATGTATTTAATGATGGGACATCATCTATAAAGCGGAACGTGAAGTTAAATGATAAAACTTACCTAGCTTATTTCATTCTTCTGAGATACTCCTATATGAAGTCCGTCTCAAGGAACAAGACGGCACGAAGAAGAAACACTTGGTTCTCATAAAAATGCTGATTGTTTGAAAACACGTCTTCCAATTGTAACAAATGTATTGTCAATCATCATGATTATTTAAATTTACTGGTTGCAAAATTATAAATTTTTCTTAATAATTAGGATGTTCTTGTCCCAGGCAGAACACTCTGGCCGTGTTAGGCGCAACATTTTGGAAGTTTTGGTCCTCGGTGCTCTTCGGCTTTGTACTTGTTTTGGCTTTCAAGCTTTTTTCATCTGAGCGTTACTGGATGGTCTTGTGTGGACGAGACGCACGTCTGGCGTATTGAATTTTAAGCCTAGTACCTTTTGTTAGCTATTATCCGTGTGTTTCTTTGTCCTATATGTTCCCCCATTTATTTGTATTGTGGTCCTGTCATGTGATGTTGTCGTTTTGGTGTTGTGTTTGACGTTGCCATTAAAGCTGGAGGTTTGGCATGCCACAAAACCAGGTTCAACCCACCATTTTTTTCTTAAAATGTCCTGTACCAAGTCAGGAAAATGGCCATTGTTATATTATAGTTCGTTTCTGTGTGTGTTACATTTTAATGTTGTGTTTTTGTTGTGTCGTTGTTCTCTTATATTTGATGCGTTTCCCTTAGTTTTAGTTTGTAACCCGGATTTGTTTTTATCTCTATCGATTTATGAGTTTCGAACAGCGGTATACTACTATTGCCTTTATTTATGTAAAGACCAGTCTCCACATTTACGTGCGTAAAAAAGACAACACTGAGTACAACTCTCCATGCACGTCTTCTTTAAGGATGTACTTAGGTGAAATTAAAAAAATCTATCTAGAATTCAAAATTGATACTATAAGTCAGAAGAGCATTAGTTAAGGAACAAAATAAGCTATAAATATTGATAGATTACGGAACTCCTTTTCGAGATATTTGATTTAAAAAAATGGCTGAAAAAGGCTGATTCGGACCTTATAATTGCATTGGTATTATTTTGGTCTCAAATCGAAAGAAAAGAAATCTAGAATCTGCTTAAATTTAGGAAAATGACCTTTTATGCGCTATTGAAGTCTTATATGAAAAGAAAAATGGGTGTTATGGGGCAAAATATTTTACCCTAAATCATAGGAAAAAAACCAAGGAGTCCGAACATCTGACAAAAATTCCTAAACCTCACCTAAGAACATCCTCAGATAAATTTGAATATATATTGTTTGATCTAAATTAAAGGGACGACCATTTGATTTGTTGGTGAGGGAATTGAAAAATAATAATCTTGCTTGGTAAGAGCTCAAAATAAATAACCTATATAATGAGACAAAACGAAAATCCTGTTCTACGATAAATGAATAAGCTAACGTCACAGCATTGGTTTAATAATTTCTCAGCTCCACGTCATCATGACTCTAAGATTGATAAAAAAAAATGAGTGTAAAACATTTACTTTTAACAGTGATACAAGTCATGATCAGTAAATAATAATTGGTAGATTTAAATAAATCCCAAATATTCTTCATGATAATTTGGCAAATTATTCATGTGAAAGTTTGACAAGCTTTTAGTCAGGACAATTATGTCATTCTCCTGTGTGTCGGGGCATGTTGTTTTCTCAATAAAGATCGTATTGTGATCATTATTCCACAGTATAATAAAGCACACACAGTGTAAAATTGCATGGTACATTATCTCAAATAGAAAGAGTGACATATAGACAAACGGTTATGCTGATGTGTATTACATTCAGTGTCTAAAAGTTATACATGACCAAAGCGTATTTTATGCAAGCACATAAAATATTTTCTAGGTCATACTTAATGCCGCCATCTTGCAACCGTTCGTGAATGTCATAACGATCGGCGAGACCGGCTACGCCGTTTGTTAGCGTATTAAGACGGTGCATGTTCGGCCTGCATATCTAGAGAGTAGCCGCTCAGCCACTGGTTCCCGGTTGTGCCATTTAGCCCCGATCAAGTTCGAGGAATGTACCGTAGGACTGTTTTTCACTTCCTGGATATATTATGCTCTGTCAGTTGTGTTGTTTTACATGACCACCGACACTCGAGTCGAGGATGCTACCACGATATTATCGAGATAATAGCTTGCAACTAACCTAATCTCGTGGTTTCCAGCGATGACCGTAAACACACCATACGGAAAGTATTTGAAGATCTTACAAAGCTGATCGAGAAAGGTTGCAAAAAGCAAAATTTATGTACATTTATTTGTAAAAAAAAAATGAAAAATGATGACGATTAAAAGAGGAGCACTTAAAGTATAATTCCTATTTTAACGCGTTTGTTCTCTACCATTCAGTCATCAAAGGTGAGTTTAATAATAAATGGAGATAAAAGATTAATCCGATTGCAAAAAAAAAAATCTAAGTGGATAATTGCATTTTTATGTTTCAATATCAAGAAAACAAAAATGATCGATTGATGTAAATGGATATT